TTCACTCTCAGCACTTGATCTGTCCCCTTTGGGAGCAGTAGGCTGCCATTGTGTGGCACACAGGGAGCAGGGTGGGGTTAAGGGTTTGCTCAGGAACCCAGAGTGCAGGCTGTGGGGATCATCTGGGTACTTGCTACCTTCTCAGAGCACAAGTGTACTGCTCTAACCCAATAGGCCAACACTCCCCCAATACATAGTGGTAGTAAGTTCTTTGCGATGAGCTCCAAGTCTTTAAGGCTGGAATACCTCGTTTTCATCACCATAATCTTTTTCTGACTTCACAGATATTATATTCAAGTTAAAATGCTAGATTGGTCGCTGTATAATCTGTATTTTTCATTTAAGTGAAACATAATAAACTCAAAATAATACTTGATGTCGAAATTAGCCATGGGGTTGAATTAGTTTGGGTTTAACAATTAGCCAAAACTTTGGTGTTGCATGTCTAAATCACCTTCTTTCACATATTTTGTATGTATGTTTATTGATTAGGTCATTTTTTGAAAGCCAGTTTCAGACGAATGGAGACTGAATTTAAATACATGCCGCACTTTTCAGAGTCTTATCACTAAAAAAAAAGATTTATTTTTTTGCTCTGCTTTGTAATTGACCATTGCTTAAAATCTAATCGAGAATGTTTAAATTTTGCAGCAGGTTGTATTGATAGAAAGGAGCTCTGTCATTGCAAATGATTGATTTACACAATCACTAGATTAACATGTGGTTCTCTTTTCTTTTGAAGGCCTTTTATACGATTGCAAGGGACATTTTAAACAATCTGTGCTCAAAAACGGTAAGCAATGCTGACATGTTTATCCAGTCTGCTGCAGTTTTTCATACTAACGGCTCTATCTGTTGTTTCTTGGATTGTTAGACTGACAGCAGCGGCGGAGGAACAGGGAAACCAGTGAAGATCACAGATAAGAAGTCTAAGAGAATTAAATTCTTCAAGTGCTCTCTCCTCTAAGCTACAGACGGATGGGCGTCACACCTCTTTCGTGACCTTGCTTGTCGTCGAGGACTTCCTCTCAGGCTCCGTCGCTGCAGCTGCACCAGTGCTGCTCTTGCACACACAGGGTCTTACTGCCATCTGAGGTCACCTGTTCATGGCGGTTGTGACGCTCCTGGCCTGTTCTGCTGATCAGAAGACTTTCGACAGGGGCCCCTAGACTTTATATCTGCTCATGCAAAAGACTTTTGCAGGCGTTTGTAGCTTTCCCTGCAGAGGGCAAACACTCTGCTGGAGTTTATAATATGAAAATGTATCAGTTGCACACTATTGTATTATTATTTAACATATTGTAGCACCATTTTTATATCATATGTACTACCTAGTATAAGAATTCCTATGCCGATGCTGTGAGAGATCATGTTCCAGCGTTGATTGTGCCTGTCTGTTTGACGTTCATGTATGTATTAAGCTTCTGGCCTTCTGTTGCACTGACATTAGTTCTGCTGCTGAGGAATGTTGTGATAAAATAGCTAAAAAAAAAAAGCAAACAAGTGCAAAATGTTGTATTTTGATAGTTTTTATTCTTTTTTTTTTTCTTATAGAACCTACATGTACACAGGTTTTGGTGTTTAAATGAAACTGTGAAAGGTGTTTATTTCTTGGAACCAGGACTGAATTTATACTTTTTACAAGTGTGATGTTTATTGCATGAAAGCGGTAGGGAGATCCCTATGGAGGCTCAATACTAAGCACAGAGCATCTGAAGAAAAAAAAAGTTTACAGGTAGTATTCGAAAATGACGAACGTATATGTAGAATGTTGTGGGGTTTTTTTGCTATTCACATTGTGTATGCATGCCTTTTTTTTATTTTATACTAAAGAGAAGATGTGTGGTAGGTTTCCCTTAAAGTTCCTCTAAATGAAAACACAACTGGGAAAAACTGTAATGTGACTGGTAGACTGTAACTTCTATCTTACACTCACTGAAAGCAGCAGCAGTAAAGAAAAAAAATCTTACTTTAGGTGTTTTCTTTTTCTTAACACCTTTTACATTTTTCAAATAATTTTCCCATCATTTTCCAAACATGTTTAGCTGCTCAGTCTTGCTTTGATTTCTTTTCTTTTATTTCTCGTCCTCCAACCTCCTTTTCTCTTCCTCCCAAGCTGACGCCCCGCTTGCTTCAGGGAGGTTCCTCTCACTGCTGGAGGCTTTTGGCTCCTTTGAGACCATCAGGGGCTTTGCTTTTCTGTCGCTGGCGTTGCAGCTCTTTGACCTGTGAGACCGCATGTACCTTTCATCAGCTACAGTCAGGTAGTCTGTACCGTCTGAGGCATTTCTCTTGGGCTTTGTCGTCCTTTGGTCGTCGTCTTGCTCTACTCCCGTTTGTCTGGCCTCACTTTCTGTGTTGTTCAGTCGTTTTAGCTCTTCATGTGAAGTGGCGGTTTGGACTGAGGATGCTTTTCCACCAGGATGGACCTGGTGCTCTACATGTGCCTGAGTTTTATCACCTGCTTCAGCTGGGTCATAGATTATACTGCTGATAGCCCTTTTCTTAATCTTAGGGGATGTCTGACTTTGGTTTTCGGCTGGAAGATCTCTTAGAGATATTGCCCTCCTTGGAGAAGGAGAAGCTCCTACCAGAGGTTTGGCCTCAGCTGTAGGCTCAGCAGCCCCCTCTACTGTATCAGGGGGGTGGACAGCAATGGTGCTGATGGATCTCTTTGTTAAAGGAGACATGAGTTGGTCTTCAGCAGGATAGTATCTGAGAGATTTAGCCCTTTTGGCTGGCGAGAAAGGTTTTAGCCTGTTTTTGTCCAGAACCATTGCGCCGCCTTGCTTTATGTCGGTGATAGTCTCTTGGCTCGATGCCCCAGAAGGAACCTTCTGTTCACAGGGAGATATGAAAATATCCACACATGAACTGGATTGAGATCTATCCAAACCACCAACCTCTAGGGTCTGCGCTGTGTTGAGAGCACAAGTGCTTGAAGCTTGGCGTACACTCCGCTCTCTCTCTAAGCCTTTCTCTTCCGTGTCCTTCTGTCTGGATGCAAACTCTTCCATGTCCATGTGGAAGCGGTAGAGGCTGTAGCCATCTGCGCTGTTGATGCTGCCTTGCCGGAGGAGAGAGGAATGGTCGCACATGGATGAGGATTTGGAGAAGGTTCTGGTTAGCTCCATTTTGTCCAACCCTGCAAGCTTTTCCAACGCTGAAGCCATACGCCCATGAAGTTCTTCCAGCTGGGCCAGACGCAGGTCTACCGTCTGGAGAGATGCTTTCATAGTGTTTTCTCTCTCATTGACCTCTTCCAGACGCATTGCCATGTTCTCAACTCTACCAAGAAGATGAAAAATACTGTAAAATACCTGTAATTGCAATGGCTTAGGAAAGTAAGACAGAGGGAGAATTTTACCTCTCGGAAGTAACCTTAATTCGTTCATCACTTGAGGACTGTTGCTCATCCTCCTTTTCACGGAAATGCTCCTCCACGCACTGTTCCTCAAACTCGTACAGATTCTTAAGCTCCTCTGGATTCAGCCTGAGCTCTGCAGGAAAAAATAAAACCAAACGTAAACTTCCCTTTGACTCGATCAGCAGCATGTTTTCTGTTATTAATATTGTTTAATGGAGGACACTAACTAAGGCCCCGGTCTTTCTCATCGAGCTCTCCTTCCTGTTTCTTCTTGACACAGCGCCGGAAAAGTCTGTTGAAGAGGATGTAGAGGTGGCTCAGGATGATGAGAGGCGGAGGCAGGATGGGGCGATCATGGAAAGTCATGATCAGCTGGTATCTTTGAAACTTCCACACCTGGTTGGAGATGGATTTGACTTCAAAGAAAGTGTTGCTGTGAGACGGAAATAACAAACACTACTGTGATTGTGACTCGGAGGGATTTTAAAATCAGAGTATTAGAAAACGCAGACTGATCTGTTTACTTGAAGACAGCAATGAGCAAGTTAACCAGAAGGATGTTTGCCACGAGAAGATAACAAGCCATTATTGCAGGTGTGAGCCATGCACCAGGGATACACGGAGGAAGTTTTTTCCCATCTTCATCGTATAAATGTTCTCCACATGGAGCTGAGGGGAAATAGATTAGAGAATTAGTTTTGGTATTGATTAAGTTCAGCCAGATTATTACTGTTAAAAACAGATGAATTGAAAACGACTTACGATTGATTTCCATTGCATAGACTTAGGAAAATACAAGACATATGCAAGAGCACAGAGAAAAAGTTAATATCAATATAAAAGGTAATATCAATATAACAGAATTATGCCAAGGTGAAGTTGAATTTTGTAGTCCTTCAAACAAATTTTTCTTTTACTGTATTTTACTAAAATTTGGAGCATAATCGTAATATAACCAGCTTACAGTTTATATTAGCAATATGCAACAACAATGCAATAACTTTTAAATGTTATAAACTAAACTCCTGATTAATATAAAATATTTTTCAACTAAAATTCTAAGCAGGAATATTAAACCAGAAGCAGTTTGGTGAGATTGCGTATTTAATTATTTTATCATATTAGATATTTTACAGCACTTTGTAATTGTTTGGGAAACTAAGGAGAGCAAATTCCCTTCCAATAATGAACATTTTCCATCTGCTTCTAAGATAGAAAAGCTACTGTTGATGTCATAATTTAATTTTTTTTATTGCTTTTCTGTTTTTCCCTTGAATCTTGTCTTCTAAAGACTTAAAATAATTAAATAGAGTAAAATATAACAACGACAATTGTCGCTGGAAACTTTTAATGCTGTAACAAAAATTCATTTAGATTATAACAGTTTTAAAATTATAACCAGAGATCATAAGGCTCAAATTAAAATAACTAGAAACATATAAAGGTATAGATATGTTTGCCTATGGAAACAACGAAAACCTTTAAATATCATTTTCCAAATTGGATGTGTCATTCCCACACATGCACTGAAGTTTTTCTGCTTTTCTATATCGGACATTCCAGATGTTCAGATACAACCACATAGCCTGTAATATGAATAAAAAATAGGCAAAAGAAGTAAAACAAAACAACTATTGAATAATTTTGCTGTTCCATTTTGTGTTTTAACTAATTCTTGGTTTTAACATTTAATTTACACTTCTTCTGTTATTGGTGTTTAAACCATTTAAAAACATTACATGTTGTTTGCTTATTGCTGATTTTGACTTTGTGTTTATGACTTCACCCTGACACAAGAAACTTTCACAGAAAAACACATCTTAACAAGTAGGTGAATAAGTGAGGAGACATGCAATGTCTGTTCTGTTCCTGTTCTATGCAGCATTATTGCAATGAAAGCCTTAAAGAATTTCCACAAATCTGCCAGCAGAGGGAGCCAAAGTATGGCGTGTACCATTTTGTACACATCAAAAAATTAACTTTAGTGAAATTTAAAAAGAAAACACTGATCATCTGCCCAGAATCAGGAAACAGAATCTTACTATGAATTCTAGTCTTACGGTCTATCGAGTCCGCAAAAACCTCCCCATAGATCATCCAGTAGGGCATGTAAAAGATGTTCCTGGCCAGACGCCAAGTCGGTTCTTCATCCGGGTGAAGGATGGCTTGCCGAGCTACCCCAAAGCTCATCAGTACCACCAGCATGATCACCACAAAATACATCATATCAATCATCTAAAGGAAACAGAAGCAAACATATTTGAGTTTAGTTGCACATTTTATGCCTGCATATATTTCTTCGGACTTTACTGTGTCTACCATTTTCCCTATCATCATCACGTAGGGTCCCAGGTACTTGTTGACTCCAAAGATGTCCAGCACACGTATGTACCAGAAGATTATGTCTATGCAGTAGATGACTCTTCCGTAGCCCATGTATGGTTCGGGCTGCAACCGCAGCATTAGCGCCAGAAGGAAGGTAGAGATGGCAGCAAGGTCTGTGATGTTCCAGTAGTCCTCCATCCAAACACTTATCTTCTGTTTCAGCTTCCCTGGCTCTGACATCAGAATCTATGCACCAGAATTTAAATCAACCTATTAAAACATACAGTATTATTGAGAAAATTTACAAGGAACATATTTTCATCTTTTACCTGTCTAACTTTTTCTGTGCCAAGTGTGAGGATGTATGCAATGACTGTCCACTCTTGTACAGATGGCCACCGCTCCATTTTAACCAGGATGATGTAATTATACATCATCAAATAACCCAGATAGCAAATCTATAAGAGAAGCGACATAAGAAAAAAGGCAAAACGTTAAGGATGTGCTTAAAGTTATTTCAAAATATATAATCTTCTTCAAGTCTCGAACTTACAGTATTGAACCAGAATTTGGTAAAAGGGGCGTCATAAAACTCAAAAAACCTTCTCCCGATTGGAATTTTGCGGACATTAGCGCTGCCCTCCTCCTCATCTCCTTTGCGGGAAACCCCATCATTGTTAGGGTCCTACAGCATCAACACAGTCATAAAGTTGTCATCCTTTATTCTGATATGACAGTATGTGAAACATATCATTGCGCATGGACCTTGCTGGATTTTGTGTCATCGTCTTTGTCCTTTCCTTCCTGTTTGTCTCCAGGTCTTTGATAAGAAGTGTCCTCTCCAATTCGGAAATCCAGGAGCAGAATCAGAGGAGGTAAGATGATGCCAAGAATAACCTAGGTGTGATATTGTTTATCTGATTAAAACACCAAGTTTTGAAACAACTATTTGTTAGAACTGCTTAATAACAAAATCAATTTAAAGATCCACCTTGAGGCCAGGATTTTTGCCTATCCTTAAACAGCCCATCCACATGTCAGTAAGCAACATCTGGCTGCAAGTGTGAGCGATGAAGTCCCGTTGTTTTGCGGCCACAGCCAGCTTCAGACAGGTGGAGTTACTCCAGTTCACTAGCTCGTATGTTAGGAGTTTCATGGCCACCTGCTCATCATGCTTGTAGGACTGGTCCAACAGCTCATAGGCCAGTTGGCCAAACTCTCTGACAAAAAGAGTGATCATAGTAATACAAATTTGTATGAAAGACCCCAAACAACACAAGAAAAAATAAACACCCACTAACACTAAGAAGTTATTTTTTTTCTATTAAAGCACTTCTTTACAATGCATATCTATGATTACACATTATCCTACTAGGAGCAAAAAAATTTTGATAGATGTTAGGCTTGCAGATTTTCAATAAAGAAAAACGAAGCAGCAAAATCACTTATGCAGGAAGCATGGATAGTTTTCTGCTGAAA